CCTTCCTTCCCTTATCCCTCCTTCCCTCCTTTCCTTCCTTCCTGATATACGGCTTGATTTCAGGGACTCATGCTTGATAGGCAGGTGTTCTACCACGTCAACAACACCCCCAGTCCTTGTTTGCAGTAGTTGTTCCTCAGATAGGGTCTCATGGTTTTACTCTAAGCTGGCCCTGGATAGGATCCTCCTACCTCTGACTTTAGCATGCCTAGGATCACAGGTGTGTGCCATCATGCTGGCTTATTGAGATGGGGTGGAACTAACTTTTTGCCTGGGTTGGTTCTCAAACTGAGATCCACCCAATCTCTGTTTCCTGAGTAGCTGGGATTACAGACATGAGTCAACTTTTTTGTTTTGTGTTTGGTTTTGGTTTTGTTTGGCAGTGGTGGGTTTTGAACTCAAGGCCTTGTACTTGCTAGGCAGGCAATCCTTCACTAGACCCACACCCCCAGCTCTATGGCTGTTTCTATGAGCTATGAATCACTCTTTGCTCAAACTCCTGCAATAAACCCTGTGTCTCAATCGCTTTCCTAAATATCTTAGTTCCTGGAGCCTGGAGTTCCAAATCTAGGCTCCTGAGACAGTAGACTTGCCCCCTGGAGTCCAGGGTTGTCTTGGCTCCAATGTCACAATCTTAGGATATCTTATCTGCTTGTCCTTTCTCACTTATTCTATTGATGCCTAGAATTATCTTGGCTTCTTTTTGAGCCCTAGGACTACTGGTGTGTCGTTTGTGTAGCTCCTGCTAGTAAATGTGCAACCGAAAAACATATTCCCATATTATTCCTATATACTTTTAGCTATTATTTCCTATATTGCTGTATATTTTTAAGTTCCTTCATTCAGTACGTGCATTTGATAACTCTTAGAAGTCTACTATGTGCTAGGCAGTATTCTAGGCCCTGAGTATGCAGCAAAATACATGATGGACAATATACATTCCCTCATGGGTTTTGTGGTCTATAGAGGACAAGCAACTTTAGTAAATAGTGTGCCAAATGGAGAAAAACCAAATGGTCTATAAGTAACAGGGAGGTTAGATTGTAGGGGAGCATACTATTTTATAATAGCAGTCAGAGGAGATAACACTGAGAAAATGACCTTGATCAGAGACCTAAAATTAGTGACGAATAAGTGTGAGAAGCTTGAAAAATATGAGAGCGCCTGCTGGTATTTAGGGAACAAGTATTCCAGGCTGTGGAAATTGCAGGGGCAAAGGTCCTGAGGCTGACTTGGCCTGGTGTGTTAAAGAAATAAGCATTCCATTGTGGGGTAGAAGTAGCAGGGGCAACCAGGTTATTGAAAATATTATTCTGAGAAAATGCATTTAATCAGTGGAGCTGACGTGATCTTCCTTCCATTTCAAAAGCACCATTGTGGCTGCCACATTGAGAATAGACTGAAGAGGGGTAATATGAGAGGCTACAGACCAATTAGGAGGTGAGAGATAATGATGGCCTGGAGCAGGTTGCTTGTGGTAGGAGCAGTAAGTGGCTGCATTTTGGATATAATTTAAAAGTGGAATAAGCACCATGTTCTGATGGTGAGGTTATGATACAAGAAGATTGTAAGTCGAGGATGACTCCAAGGTTTAGAACCTCACAAGTAGAACACAAAAGTGCCAAATGAGGACTAGGACAGTAGAATGCTACAGGCATGGGCATGTTAAAGTTGAGGTGTCTCTAAGACATTCACTTGGGGATTCAAATAGGCACTTGTTCAGGAGAGGTAAAAGTAGAAAAGGAGGCAGTAACTAAAGAGGGATAACAGGAGGTCACAAGGTCTGGGTTTGTTTTTCAAAGATGGGCACTGGTAAAGTATAATTTTGTACACATGGAAGAGTTCCCAAGAAAGGAAAGTGGTGACAATGAAAGAGAGAGAGGGAGAACTGTTGGAGCCAGGACCTGAGTAGGTGACAGGTAGGATGGGACACAGTGGAGGGTCTGGCCTTATAAGTGTAGACAAGGCCATCTATTGTAGCAGAAGGGATGGCCAGGTATCCAGGGACAGATGCAGAGTGACTGGAAGCTCTTGTGTGACTGCTTCTATTTTCTCAGGCAGATCAGCATCTGAGAGGTGACAAGAGGCTTTAAGATAAGGCAGAAATGTGGCATGATCTTCTAGGACAGTGGCTTTTAAACTTCAGCTCATGGCCTATTTGTGGGCTTTGAGATCAACTTTGTGATATGAGATCAGTTAGTGACTTCAAAAAATAAATTTAATTTTAAAATGGAACAAAAGAATGACTGTTTGTGGGTTTATATACATATATGGCTGCAGCAGAAATATTTCTTAAAAAATCTCACTCACCAAGGACAGTGGGAGTAAATGAATAAGTGTTAAATAGTTAAAATAAAGTTAACAATTTTCCTGTTAAGATCTGGGAATGGGAACTGATACAGGACCACAGCCTCTCACCTACCACTCAAACTCCTGCCCAAGAAACTTTTCTGTTTGAATATTTTCACAGAAGGGAATCTCACAACTCAAAAGTTTTAGATGTCAGAAAGTGATTTTCCTCTCTATGCCAAATGAGGCCTCACAACACTTTGACGGATCTGGCAGTTAAGATTTAGAACTTAGTGTACTTCATATTAAGTTTGGCCTCATGTAATAGCAAATTTGATTGCCCTTCCCCATTTCAGAGGGCTCTTCTAAAACAAAACCAGCACCAGAGCATTGAAAAAGCTTATTTTTGTTCAAACACTGATGCAGAAAGGCACCAAATAGCTTTCAAACGTATGCCCTCTCTTTCCTCTGTCCATTGCACTATCTTCAATGATTGAGCTGAGATTTACACCTGTTATTTTCTGACTCTTTCAAGGTTTTGGTTACATCTGCAGATGATTCCAATCAGATTCTTTACTTATTAAAAAATGCATCCATTCTTACTTTATTTGCTTTGCTTGCTTAGTTTTTCCCTGCCAATGCACTGAATATTTAAGAATATGGCTGTAAAAAATGTGTACATATTACTGGAGTTAGAACTCAGGGCCTCGCATTTATTAGGCAGGCGCTCTACCACTTGGGCCATGTTCCCAGCCCCAGACATATTTTTAATTCTAACAGGCTCAGGTTATTTTCTAGATATTGCAATTTAGAATAACAGAAGTACTTTTTCATTCTATATTTTCCCTAATGGCTAAAATTGATCTTGAGATTAACACAAACCAACTTTCTATTTACAAGGCAAATATCTGAACCACTTAGCAGTTTTTAAAAACTACTTTTTCATCATTGTAAAGGCAATATGAAACTTAATTCATTAGACAGGATATAGACATAGACGTTATACATGACACATTTTCTCTTTGCAATCTTGTTCTCTTTGATTTACATAAATTTGAGACACTGAGCAGCAGAAATCAAATTTAATAGAGATTAAGGATGCATAAAAATGTACAGTCTGCATATATCAGTAAGAGGATGCCAATTTATAATATTATTTAATCTTTGTCCACTTGTAAAATAAAATCAAGTCTGAACCAATCTTGTACAGCTTTTGAGTTTACTCTGTATTTCTAGGATTCTTTCAATAGTTTCACTTTTCTAAACACAAAGAAAACAATAAAAATTGTAAAACAGGAACATGAAATTCCTATTTTATTCATGTAGTGTGGGTCATGCTGGTTTTCTTTACCCTCAAATGTTCTTCTCTATGTTAAACGCTCCCATAGGGTTGGTTCCCCTTCCTGAGCTCCTCTGAGCGCTCCACCAAGGAAAGCTCTCCCCCCACCCTTCCATTTTGCAAGCCTTAACAAGTCCGCTGCTGAGTCAGAGCCTCCTTTTTCCCGATGTGCGAAATCCTTCTCCCTTGAAAATTAATAAAGCTTCGGAAATGTTCAAATTAGAGTCTCCCTGAGGGGAAGGGAGGGATGCCAAAATGAATGTGTCCCACGAGCCACTGTCCCAATGAGGGCACGCTAAACGCTCTTCGGACACAGGGGACTTGGAGCTGGCCCGGTTACCATGGGAGCTCTCCTGGGAACCCGTTCTACGCATGCATGTGTGCAAATAGCCGCGCGGAGCCGTGCTGGCTTCGGGGACTTTGTTCCTCGTTGCCGAAGTGGAAATGTTTGTGTACAGTCGGGGCTGCGGAGCTTCGTGTCTGTCCCGCAGCTCTAGCGTGGTGACAGCACGCCACACGCCAGGCTAAAACGGAAGCACGCTCCGAGAAAGCGCTCTCCACGGGGACGCGATGGCTCCAAGTGGGACGCGGTGGGGCAGAGGTACTGGTGCCCTGCGTGGGGTCTTTAGCCAGGCAGAGCCCCACGGGCGAGCCTGCGACAGGACCCCAGGTTGGGCAGTGTCCAGCGCTGCTCTCGGGGCCGGGCCGCCGGGTTCTACATGCGCTCGCGCAGAGCAGGCGCCTATCCCGTTCCGGGGCCTCAGTTTCCCCAGCCTGCCCGCCCCACCCTGCGAGGCCGGTCGGTGTGACCGGGCCTCACGTGACGGAGGGCCGGACCGAGGTGACAGGAAGGAGGCGGGGCCCAGGGAGAGGAGGCGCGTGCTACCAGGGCAAGCTCTGCGCAGACCCCGCGCGGGAGGGGCCGTTGCCCAGAAACCGTCCGCGCCGCCCGCGCGTGCTCGCCCTCGTGCGCACGCGCCCGGCGCTCAAGGTCCTGTTAGCCAGTCGCCCCCACCCCAACCAGCCTTTCCTTTTCCCTGGGCACAGCAGGGACCCGAGGGGACGCGCCGCTCACTTCCGCACCCCGCGAGCCGAGCCGCATATTAATGAGGGGCGGGGCGTGGGCGGGGCACGGCGGCCTTGCGCCCGCGCGTGCCGGGACGCGCCGCGGGGGGCGGCGCGATTGTGAGGTGGCGCTGACGCACGTTCCGGGGTTCTTAAGCGGCCGGGGCGGCGGGGCGGCGGCGGCGGCGCCCGAGCCGGTCTCGGGAGGCGGCGGTGCCCGCTGCGAGCGAGGGGCGGCGAGGCCGAAGTCGGTGCCCTGGTTCAGTCACAGTGTCCCTTTCTCACTGACCCCCTCCTCCCTCTCTTTCCACCACGACCGCACCACCACGGCTCCGGGGGCTTCCTAGGCGGGGCAGTGGACGGGGCCCGTCTCCCCTCACGGCCGCCGGCCTGATAAATGAGGGACTTCGGGTTTGGGGCGCCACACACAGTCCCGCTCCGCAGCCACAGCCCCGGGTCTCTTCCCTGCGCCGCGGGGCCCGACACGGCCACCGCCCCGCCGCCCTCCGCCACGCCCTTCGGCCCGCTCTCGCCGCCGCCGTTGCCTGTCACCGGCTTGGCTGAGGCCGCCTCCCCCTTCTCCATCCCCCTCGGCGGCGGCGCGAGCTGCGCGGCCGCCGCCGCTTCCTCTTCCTCCTCCCCGCTCCTGGCGCATCCGCAGACCATGCAGGATGAGCTGCTGCTGGGGCTGACACAGCAGCCGGCGCGGCCGCTCTCGGGGGCGGCGGCCGCGGAGAAACTCCCCAACCACCACCCCGGCGGCAGCACGAACGCGGGTGTGACCCACCTCCTCCCCTCCCAGGACTTCAAACCGAGTCTGCACCACCCCTCCTCCTCCTCCGCCTCCTCCTGCTGCTGCCGCCGCCGCACCTCCTCCCCGCAGGACTTCAGTAAGCGGCAGCCGCAGCAGCTGAGCAGCCAGAAGAGGAAAGAGTTCAGCCCTCCCCACCGTCCCCACCCTCTGGACTCGAAGCCGCCGCCGCCGCTCCACTGCCCGGGCCGCTTCAGCCCGCCGCCGCCAACGCCGCCAACGCCGCCGCCCGGCCCGCTCCTCCCGCCGGCGCAGCTCGCCCAGCGCCAGCCGCCGCCGTTCAGCCTCCCGCACTCGCAGCGCCTCCCGCCGCAAGACTTGGCCCCGCCGCCGCGGCAGCGCCCAGCCGACCTGCCCCCGCTCCGGCAGCTCCCGCCCTCGCCGCCCGCAGCCCCGCGGCGCCGCCACGGAGGCGCGGGCAGTCCTCGCAGGACCCCGGCCGCGGGCGAGGGCAGCGCCGCCGAGCACCCCAATGCGGGCTTGGGCCCCTCGACGCCGCCGGTGAACCCCGCGCCGGGCTCCATGGAGTCTCCCAACCACCCTCTGCTCAACAGCCCCAGTAGCCTCCTGCCCGGCGGGGCGCTCGGCGCGGGCGCCTTCAGCAGCCTGCAGAGCCCGGACCTTCCGCACCCGGCGGCGGCGGCGGCGGCGGCGGGGGCGGGGGGCCCCCCGGAGGCGGAGGGGGAGGCGGCTCCGCGTCGCCCCCGCCGCCGCTGCCCGGCTTCGGCACCCCCTGGTCCGTGCAGACCGCGTCGCCGCCGCCCCAACCCCAGCAGCCGCCGGCGCCCCAGCCGCCGCCGCCGCCTCCGTCCCAGCCGCCGCCGCCGCCCGGCTCCTCGGCCACCACCCCGGGCGGCGGCGGCGGTAGCGGCGCCGGCGGCGGCTCGCTCAGCGCCATGCCGCCGTCCAGCCCTGACTCGGAGAACGGCTTCTACCCGGGGCTGCCGTCGTCCATGAACCCGGCCTTCTTCCCGAGCTTCTCGCCCGTGTCGCCGCACGGCTGTGCGGGGCTCAGCGTGCCGGCGAGTGGCGGTGGTGGCGGTGGCGGCTTTGGCGGCCCCTTTTCGGCGACCGCGGTGCCCCCGCCGCCGCCGCCGCCCGCCATGAATTTACCTCCGCCGCCGCCGCCGCCGCCCGCGGCGCCGCAGCAGCCGCAGAGCCGGAGGTCGCCCGTCAGCCCGCAGCTCCAGCAGCAGCACCAGGCGGCCGCCGCCTTCCTGCAGCAGAGGAACTCCTACAACCACCACCAGGTACGGCGGGCGGGCGCCGGGCCGGGCCGGGGCGGGGCGGGGCGGGGGGACACGACCGGCCGGGGCCGCCGCGGGCTGCGGGAACCGCGGCGGTGGAGCGCAGGGGCCCGGCGGAATGGCGCCCGGCGAGGGGCGGCCCAGGACTCGCCGGGGCCTCGGACGGGCGGTCGTGGGGCGCGAACTCGGCCCGCGAGGGGGGACCGCCCGCGCCGGGGCCGTCCGGGGGCGATGCGGGAGGCTTCGGCGGCGGGGCCGCCCCGTGTGGCCGGAGCCTCCAACGCCCACCCTCCCGGCCACCTGCCGGCCGTCGGAGCGGGGCCGCGCTCCGCCCGCCCGCCGCGGTCAGGGACCCGAGGCGGCGGTGACGGCCTCTGGGTTGACACCGAGCCCCCCCCCCCGGGACCTGGGACTCGGGTCGCGCTGGACGAGGCGGCCAGGCGGCGTCCGTCCCTCTCCTCCGGGGGAAGTCGCGGGGTGGGCGTCTCTTTAGGGACACAGGGTTTCGCGATCCATGCCCCTGCCCGCCCGAGACCCCCATCCCTCGGTGCGGCGCTGGGGTGACCCCTCCGGGGTGCGCGACATTGGACATTGGCGGGGCACTGCCCACTAGTCCGGCCAGCGTGTGTCCGGGGGCCTCGCTGCTTCACTTGGCTTCGTGATTGAGGAGGGACGGGAAGCGAATTTGACCCCAGCCGTGCCGGCTCCAGGTCACAGCTTCCCCCGCGGCCCGCCCTCGCCGTCTGAGTTGACCCGAGCGGCGTGAACGGCTCACCCAGGTCAGCCCGGTAACAGCTAGCGCTTTGCTTCCTCCCAGAGGACGGCGGGACCCGCCCGCACTGGAAATAGGACTTGTGAGACGGTATCCACTTCCCGTGATTTGCGTAACCTCGAGCAGCAGCGGCTACCTCGCTCGCTCTTCAGTTTTCAGCCGCAGACATGCGCTGACCCTGAGTTCCCGAAGTCCTAATGTAGAACATCGGCAGAACATGTGCTGTGATCCATATTTAACCGTAAATCACTTGCACAAAAGTGGCTCTCACCGTAAGCGCAGGAGGTCACACAGCTTCCTTAAGGAGTTGTAGCTCCCTGGCAGACAGTTTTGCATCAAAGCAAGGCCTGGTGCATGGGCAGATCTGTGGTGAGCTCCTCAGCTATGCGTGCTTTTGCAGGATGTGGGGGAACGTGTTTTCTCCATTACAGCAGCACTTAAAAGATGTAAAAATGGGTAGCGTATAGACCGCAGGGTTTTGTAAATTGCCTTGTAAGATACAGGCTGAAGAGTACCCTGTCGGTTGATCTTTAGTAACTGCACAGTCTGTACTTCTACTGGTGACATCCCAGCACTAAATTACTAGGTTATTAGTTTATTGGCAGTAGAATTGTTAGCACTTCATACTTCCTAAAAAAAAGTACTATAGACTTGACTTGCGGATTTTCCATTTGATGACTTTTCTTGTCATATGGAATATAATTTACTTTTGAAAATGAATGAACTTAATGGAAACTTGAATGGTGACTTGAGTTAGGATTGTTAAGAATAATCAAAGCCTGTGATTGTTTATTGACTGTGTAGCTCAGTGGATCCACCTATGGGTAACATTAGATAATTGCTTAACTGTTGTGGATAACTAAGTGAAATAAAAACATTATGAAAGAGATTATTCCAAAACCAGAATGAAATTCCTTAAAAGTCAAATAAACAGTGCAAGAAAACAGCATATTTCTTATATTCCCCTACTCTAAAAAGATATATTTTTTAATGACAAATGTTATCAGTATCTACTTTTAGAGTAGTACAACTTGTTTGGGAAGTATATGGTCTAAAAAAATTCACTCATATAACTGGGAAATTTAATTAATAAAGACCTGACAGAATATGGTTACTTTAAGGCTCTTTGGAGTTAATTTCAGCTTAAAAATATTTCTTCATCTTTACCAGATATACAGTTCTCTCTTAAGGGTAAAAAGAAGTAACCACATTTTTCTGTTTTAGTAATTGTTATGAAATATCATATTTATAGTGGCTAAGAGGATGAAACTTGCCCAGCATTAAATAAATATGATTTCAAATAGCAAGATTTCATGCCTACTACTTTTTGTAAGTTACTTAAGATATATTTTGTTGCTTTTAAATATTTCATTTTTATGATCATATAAGTTCTTAGTTTAAGTCTAAAGCTTGAATTTGAATTATAAACTCTTCATAGCCTGTAATTTAAGTAGATGTGTTTTTCCCAGCCTCTTCTGAAACAATCTCCTTGGAGCAACCATCAGAGCAGTGGCTGGGGCACTGGAAGCATGTCCTGGGGAGCAATGCATGGCAGAGATCACCGTAGAACTGGAAACATGGGAATTCCAGGGACTATGAATCAGATATCTCCTCTGAAGAAACCATTTTCTGGTAATGTCATAGCACCACCGAAATTTACTCGCTCCACACCATCACTGACTCCAAAATCTTGGATTGAAGATAATGTGTTCAGAACAGACAACAATAGTAATACACTCTTACCCTTACAGGTAAGAATGGTATGTAAATGGCTTTGCCTCTAATGTTAATCTTTCAAAACAGGAAGTTGGGTGGTAGTGGCAGTGATAGGTAGGTGGTAGTATG